GAGTCACCAGGTCAGGCACAGCCTGAGGACTGCTGTTCCACACACCATGGAGTCTTTCATGGCATGTGCAGCCTGCTCTCTACACCTGTCTGATTATTAAGCATCTTTTTTGTAATTACAATTTTCAGATGCTCCCCCTGTTTTGTTTTTGTTTGTTTTTATTGATGACATATTATAATTTCATGTAACCTTACTTATTAATCTTACTCTGTAGTTTCTGGATCATTTTGAAAGTACTTTGTATCATATTGTATTTTAAATCTTTCATTTGTTTATTTATTAGTTTCTTTTTCTTCTACTAATTTTTTGTTTAACTAGGATTTACTTTGGTGTAATATGGGGGTGTGTTCCTACATTAATTTTCCCACTTGATATGCAGTGGTTTCACGACCATTTGAGGTCATATTTTCCTTAAGTTTGGCAATGCCCTTTTATCCCCGGATTCTTGCATGAACCTCAGTGTGATTGGGCTTCCTAATTTGTCCACTGGTCCATGCATTTATGAACCAGCACTAGCCTCACCACCTATTAGTCCTCTTCAGATACTTCTGGGCCAGTTTTGATTCTTCACCTTGTCTGGTTGGAAACAATCCAGGAGAGCGGGCCTTCTCCCAGGTCCTGCACACGTGGCCCCAAACCCTATCTGTTGCAAGCTCTCCAAATTGCTGCCCTAGGTATTCTTGTGCACACAGGGTAGTCTTGCTGCCAGAGCCCTTGAGTGTCCTTCACTGTGACAGGCAAGTGCATTCCCTGGGCACTTGTTGGTTGGGTGGGTGCAGCTGCCTGGTTGTCATGGCGCCTCTAAGGAAGCTGGCAGATCCTCCTGTTCCTGCGGGCAGTGGCTGCCTCTGGAGGGAACCTGTGGCCCAGCAGGCAAGGTCGGCTCTCCCCACCCCTGCCAGATCTCTCCCCTCCCCATGCACTCTCCTCTGGCCTCCTCTCTGATTCTCACTCCATCTGTGCACACACCCCTGCCGGTTCCTCTGTGACTGGACCTCACTGGGGTGAGAGCCCTCCCTGGATGCACTATTTATGGAGGTTCCCTGGGGCATGTCAGCGCCATGTCACAAAGGCAGGAAGCCCTTGTGAGTCAGGCTGGGTGTGTGCAGTGACAGTGACGGCCACGGCAGGGTGGGCGGTACACAGCACTGGGTCCCCAGCACCACCCTTACTGTCAACCTGTCTCGTCTGACGACAGGCTGCCTCCCAGGAGGACTGAGGGTTCTGGGGCCTGCCTGCCCCTCCTGGCACTTGTCCTGGCCCATTGTTGGTTAGACTCAAGGCTTATGTTGGCACTGGGTTGTGTTTCTCCTTCTATTCGACTTTTCCCTAGAAGTTAAGCATCTCTGCACTGTTCTCTGGTGTCACTGCTTTGTAACTGCCTGGGGCTTCCGTCAGGTCCTCAGCTGTCACCAGACAGTCCTTCCTTTGGGGATTCCAGGGGACTCTTGCTCCGAGAGCCCCTCACTGTGAGCCCTGCCCACTCACTCTCTGGGCTGTAGTCTATGAGTTGCATCTTTCTGCTCTGGGAAAGTCTCCTGTTGTGTTTGAGTGGCTCACTCCTATCTGTCCTCTGAACCCCGTCAGTCGGCATTCAGCTCTTCTGCTACCACCGACCCGGTCTCTCCTGCTGCAGGCTTCTCCCTCTCTCTTGTCAGATGTGTTCTGAAAGGCTCCTTTGACCCTGACCTTCTCGGTGGAGCTTTGAGCTCAGCGATCCTGTTTCCAGGGCCTCTCCTGTTACCTGGGTTCTGGGGACTGAACTCAGGGGCACTAGACCACCAAGCCACATCACCAGTGCACAAGTATGTACGTAGATATAATTTTTTTGTCTCACTGAGTTGCTTAGTGCCTTGCCATTGCTGAAGCTGGCTTTGAACCCATGATCCTCTTGCCTCAGCCTCCCAGACCACTGGGATTATAGGCGTGCACCACTTTGCCCAGGCCTGCACCTGCACTTCATTTACTTATTTTTTATTTATTTGTTTTAAAGAGAGAGAGAGAGAGAAGAGAATTTCAATTTTAATTTTTTAGTTCTTGGCGGACACAACATCTTTGTTTGTATGTGGTGCTGAGGATCGAACCCGGGCCACATGCAGGCCAGGTGAGCGCACTACCGCTTGAGCCACATCCCCAGCCCTGCACCTGCACTTTAGATGCTGAGGACAAAGGTGCTTTTTTTTAATATTTAGTTTTAGGTGGAAACAATATCTTTATTTTATTTTTAGGTGGTGCTGGGGATCGAACCCAGTGCCTCACGTGGGCTAGGCGAGCACGCTACGACTGAGCTGCAGCCCCAGCCCTGCCTTGCTGACGGTTGTCTCCTACCTCTACTCTTTCCTCTAGGGTCAGCTCCATCTTCGTGGACCCGTCTGTATTCTGCTATTTGCTTCTGTGAGGAACACAAAGTTGGCGGTCCATTTTCAAAATAGCCTTAATTGGGAGGCAAGATCCAATCCTGCCCATTTCACCTCCAGCTCGTCCCTCTCCCCGCCCCAGTTTCCGCATTATCCAGTGATACTGACCCTGAGCTCCTCCTAGCAGGGCAGGAGCAGTGCTGTCTTGGGATCAAAGCAGGATGGCCGCCCAGGCTGCCTGCTCACCAGGTTCCGTGGTGCACCCACGGGCAGAAGTGAAGTTTGCCTCACCGAGCCGCTTCAGAACATGTGTTTGAATCCCTGCAACGAGAGGAATTTCTAATACTTCTGAAAGCCTTGGATGTAGTGGCCCCCCTTCTCCACAGAAAATCTTACTAAGCTTCTCCAGAAATCTTCACCACAGTTGATTTTAGGACTATCAGCAAAAGAGTCTCTACAAAAGAGTTCAGTGTGATCAAACTATTTTCCTGTTGCTCCATTTCACTTGGCCACTGGCCTGGAAGAGACCAGCACTCCAGGTGCTGAAGGCCCCTTTACTTGTTTTTCACAAACATGTATCCAGTATAGTAGTTTCTAGAAGTGTGTTTGCAAGTGCAGAGTGTGATTAAAAAAAAAACACACAAATCCTTTAGCAAGGCCTCTGGCCTTGAGCTGGGCTTCACAGAGATGTCTACATTTCTAAGATAAGAGAAGTTACCCATTGGGCTCCATGGTAACAGCTGGCAGGGAGGAAAGGAAGGGGAGAAGAAGCTCTCCCCTTCTCAGGCACTGTCCTTGAAGGGTTAACTTGCCCAGAACGGTGAAAAGAAAAAGCTGCTTTTGTGTGAACTTACTTCTGAGCCCCTCCCCTGACATGCTGGGTATAAAACTCTGCAACTGCCTGAACTCGGGGTTCAGGGGATTGATTGATTTCAGCGAAAGCTCTGCTCTCTGAACCTGGCTATAGCTAAATAAACCTGCTTCCTCTTCCTATTTGGTGTTTTGCCTCGTCTGTCCCCTGCAACAGGGGACCTGGACACTCTGTGTTTCAGAGTCCATCCCAAGGAGCTGCCATGGTTTCCCTGTGGACTTCTCCTGAGTGGAAAGAAAATGGGGTCCAGAGGCAGGGTGTGCTGCTGTGTGATTTAGGGTGGACAGATGAAGGCTTGGCCATAGGCAGACAGACCACCCCCCTCCGCCAGACCTCAAGCCAAGCTAGAATGAAGCTGTCACTCTGGGGTCCCAGGCTGCTGCTGGGAGCTGTGGCCTGACCTGGTGGTCACTGTGAAGTCTTTGGATGGCAGCCCCTGTGTCTGTCCCCTGGGACCTGCTTGGTGTGGGGTAGCGTCAGGTCTGCCCCCAGGGGCTGTTAACTGGCAATAGGAGTCTCTACCCCACACCCAGCTCCGAGCTCTCTGGGATCCACAGCTTGACTCCCAGGCCTCTACTGCGGACCTCTGACACCTCGCTGTCTGGTTGCCTTGGCCAACGGCGACCTGCTCACTTCAGAAGTCAGTGTCCCTCCCCTGCCCAGGCCCTCTTCCCAGTCTCTGCTGCAGGCTGCACCTCATTCTCATTTTCTTCTGATCCAGGGCTGGATGGGGGAGGCCAGGCAGGTGCTTGGGGTTCCCAGCGCCAGCTCCATGCCACAGTTGTCACTCAGGCTGTGCCTGACAGGCTGAAGACCCAATGTAGCATTCCCAACATCCTCCAACATAGGAGCAAGACACAGGACCCCAGGTCCCAGTACACTGTGTGCTGCTCTTGAGCGTCACCTGGTGGAGCCTCTCAGGACAGGAGAAGCCAGCACGTCCAGCCCTAGCGCCCTGCGTCTCCACAGGTTCTTCTCAGTCAGCAGCACTTGTTTTTTTTCTCATTTAAAAAATTTGTTCTAATTAGTTCTGCACAACAGTGAAATGCACTTTAACACATCCTACATAAGTGGAGTATGACTTCTCATCCTTCTGGTTGTACATGATGTAGGATCACACTGGTCCTGCAGTCATACATCACTTAGGGTAATAATGTCCAATTCATTCTGCTGTCCTTCCTGCCCAAAACCCCTCCTCTTCCTTCACTCCCCTCTGTTTAATCCAAAGTAACTCTGTTCTTCCCTAGATTAGCATCTGCATATCAGAGAAATCATATCAGAGAAAACATTCAGCCTTTGGTTCTTTGGAATTGGCTTATTTGGCTTAGCATGATATTCCAGCTCCAATCATTTACCAGCAAATGCCATAATTTCATTCTTCTTTAAGGCTGAGTAATATTCCATTGTGTATATGTACCACATTTTCTTTATCCATTCATCTGTTGAAGGGCACCCAGGTTGGTTCCATAGTTTAGCTATTTTGAATTGAAGCAGCACCTTTTAAAAAGTAGATTTTACAAGCAGATTACTTCCCTGTATTCACAGGCAAAGTGCCGCATGCCTCAGCATGGCATCTGTGTGACAGCCAATTCTTCAGGCTTTGTGGGCTCTGGACATTTTTCTCTAACTGTGCACAACACCAGTGTACTCAGTGTGTTCCAGAAGAGTTGCCCTGGCAGGTGGAACATGTGAGACCCACTCCCAGCCTCCTATCCTGCGTATTCCGTGACAACTCGGGGACCTGGCGGTAGAGAAGGTGCTCAGCCTTGGGCCCTGCACTGGCTCTGGCCAACCTTCCTCAGCCTGTGGTCAGCCTGCACATTTTTCCTGGAGAGGGGCCAGTGTGTCAGGAGTGGGTTGGAGAGCACAGGCTTGGACAGAAGCAAGGAGAAGGAACGGGAAACTCTGGATTTGGCAAAGAACAAGGAAATGTTGGGAAATCCTCACTGGCAGGGTCTCCACGAAGGTCAGAGGTCAGGACTAAGATGGGAGCGGGTCCAGAGGGAGTCAGGAAACTTGTGCAGCAGAGCAGGGAACTGTGGAGCCCACAGCTAGAGGGCTGGTGTCACCCAGTGACAGCCCCCCCTGGGACACAGAATTGCCCCCATGACAGCCCCCCCGGGACAAGGAACTATTCCAGTGACAGCCCCCACCTGGGACATAACACCATCCTGGGACACGGAAGCATCTGGGGCACAGCACCGTCCCTGCAATCGCCCGTTTGGGATGAGCACCCTTGCAGGAGGCCAAGGCAGATGAACATTGTCCCCCGCCAGCCTCAAGCCTGCATTTCGCTTTCCTTGTCAAGTGGACAAAGGGTGAGTTTTTGAGTTGCATTTTCTCCTTTCTCTGAGGGAAGGGTATGTTGCCAGAAGTCCCCTGCACTGCTCCTGGGGACTGTGCCAGACGTGGGTATTGCTGTACAGCTGCATCCCACTAACAGGGCAACAGGGAAGGCTCCAGAGCCCTGTGCCCATTGGGGCTGCTGAAGAGCTCACTGTGCACAGCTCTGGGCTCAGAATCACATAGGGAGGGAGAGGGGAGAGGGAGAGAAGGGAGGGTAGAGAATGAGCCGGTCAGGATGGGGAGCCAGGCCCTGTCCTGACGAGGGGTCCAGCTGCAGCCTCTCTGCAGGTGAGCTCCGGTGGGTCCAGCTACTTAGGGGGGTCCCGCTTCCCAGCAAAAGAGAACTGGAAATTCAAGCCTTGAATCCCCCTCGACTGGTCTGGCAGAGGAAGGAAGGCAGCTCGGGCTGTGTCAGGGCCTCCTACCCAAGTGCTCCCTCTCGCAGGCCAGGAGCTCTGCACACACCCTGGGACACCCTCTGCAGACACCATGGAAACAGGTACTGAGCCCCAGAAGACCCCCTGGCCACATGAGCCCAGGAAGGAGTGGTGGGGTCCAGAAGCCAAGGCCCCTTGCTGCAGGAGAAGGTCTGTTAGTGAAGGAGGCTGGTGGCTCAGCATTATCTGAATTCTCTGGGCTCAGGGAGGAGGGGCCCTCTCCAAGCCCCCAAAATGGACTGAGAGCCACAGAAACAGCAAGGAGCCAGGGTCTTGCAAGACTGGGTGCCTAGTGATCAGGGACCCCCAGATTGGGCACATCCAGGGTTTGGCTGAGTACTTTGGGGTGTACAATGCCTAGGTTTTACTGTCTCCCACGGGGTTATTTAAGGAAATATGTCTTTAGCTGCCTCTGCCTCCCTTTTTTCTCTTGTGGTGGGGAAGTCCCTTGGACTGAGTGCCTTTTGCACCTACACAGTTTATCTCGTTGGCCAGAGGGGCCCTTCCTTCTCCCCTTATGTCTGTCAGTGGGCTCCGAATTTTCACACTCCCATGTTACGTGCTTGTAAATTTCCAACCTGCTGTGCCCCCTTCCTAAATCCCAAGTCACTTTACATTGAATGCTAAATACTGTGTTTTGAAAATGGACCACTGGATATTCTGTCTCTCACAATATAAAAGCCATAAAATGCAAAGTGGATCAGGGATTGGACCCTGGCACACAAGTGTGCTGTTGGGAGCCAGCCTCACACTGGGCACTGAGTTACAGCCTGCGCAGCTTCCCAGGTATGAGGAAGGCTCCAGGCCTCTCTGTCTCCCTCAGCCTTGGGGTCTGCCTGCAGGAGGGACTGCAGCAGCTGCTTGAGAACTGCCTTGTCTGCGCCTGGGGGTGCTGGGCCAGGGCTTCTGCACTTCTGATTTTTCCAGGCCCACCATCAGGCCCTGGAGAGCAGCATTGTGAGCAGTGTGGGTGTCTGTGAAGAGTGGATGGAGGAATTCCTGAGGCCCAGGTGGGAGGGAGGAAGTTCTCACGTCTCTGAGCAGAGCAGTGCGTATGTTTGAACGTGAGGAAGGCAGAAAGACTCTTAAAGTCGTGTGTCCGTCCACTTGGTCCTGAGTTAGTGAGCACCTGGGGCAGGACAGTCTCCACCCTCAGAAGATCTCACAGAGCATACGAGAACCCTCTCTGCTGTGAGGCTGAGGCAGGAGGCTGGAGGTCCAGGAGCAAGCCCCCATCTGATCCAATCCTGGGCCACCAGGCTGGTGTCTACCGGGCATCTCCTGGTCACTGCGCTTCTCTGTTTCTCACCAACAGCAGGTCAAGGAAACTAATTATAATGGAATGCTTCTGAATATGACATGCAGATTTTCTCAGACAGGAAATCTTAATTAAGCCTTGTGTCTTAAGGTACAGGATGTATTTTTAGGTGATAATTCTCACATTCATCTCCTACCGTTCAGGCCCAGTTTCAATACTTGTCAACAATTCTGGATTAAAATAAATCACCTTTCAAAATCTCAGAAAACTTTGTAACAGACTGTCCACCCCATGCACCCCACAGGGCGGCTGCCCTGCACCCCTACCCCTCCATCAGTCAGCCTGGCTCACAGCCAGTGGTTCGCGTGAAATGAGGAGCATTCCTGATAAAACACCCATCCTAGTCTTAGTTCATACAAAAGTGAACGAGGCTCCCATCCTTAATCTGACCACAGCCTTGGGTATGAAAGTGCAACATTCTGAATGCCATTCCACCTTACCCAATTCTCTAATCAGGGTATATGCAAAATCCTGTCTGTAGGGTCACGGATGGACCACCAGCCGCTGCCCTGGACATTCTTGCTCTCTGTCTCACAAGAAGCTTATTTTGGCCGGATGAAGCAGTTGAGGGGGAGAGCTTTGAATGACTACAACTTTCCATGACTGATCCTAGAACCAATTGAAAAAATATTAATGGAAATCTGCTACCTAAGCAACGATTTAAAATATTTTGGAGCTGTCTAGTTAAAAAAACAAAAAGACACGATTCAAGGATTGGACAGCCAGGGATGAGGAGAGCCTAAAGGAAGGCAGGAGTTAAAAGGGGAGAGGACTGCAGGGAGGGAGGGAGGAGGGAGAAAGGAGGAGGAGGGGGAGGGAGAGGAGGAGGGAACAGCAGGGGGAACGAGCAGGAGGAGGAGGAGGGGAGAAGGGGCAAGAGGTGGGGAGGGAAGAGGAGGAGGCAGGCAGCAGGCACCAAGGAGGACACTGGGCAGGGGAGATGAGCAGAGGCTCTTCCTCCCCTTCCTTCACCTCTTCTTCCTTGGTAGCTGGGACCCAGCAGCTCACGAAGCTATTGATGATCTGGAAGCCGTGGCCCATGGTGTGGGAGGAGGTTGTGACTTCTTTGTTACCCGGTCCTTTGTCTAGCGCTCTCCACAGGCTCTCCAGGACTCTTCCCTGCCTAGGCACCATAGCAACTGTCACATGACTCCACAACAGTCCAGCAGGGCTGCTGGCCAAGCCCGCTCCTCTCTGAAGGCAGCAGAGTGGCAGCCCGGCAGGCCTCCCCCTGTGCCTGGCAGAAAGCTGATCAGGATCACAGGAGCAAGGCAGACAGTGGCCCAGCCACTAGGGCAGGCTGTGGCAGACCCAGA